TCCAGCGTCCTCCCCCGCCACCTGATCCAACTCACCACCAGGTGGTGATCTGTTGACAGCTCAGCCCCTCTCTTTATGATGGGCGGACATTCCCCATCATGATTTTGATCAGAAGTCCTGTTTCCATCAGTTATGGAACGCCGTCCAGGTCCTGAAGCAGCTAAGCAGCCCCAGACTATTGTAGCTTAAATTGTAGACGACAAACTTCTACCGCTTCCCATGTGTGCTGCATGGATCTTATGACTGAGGAGATTGGTGAAGTATAATGAACAGCTTTTGAAACTGCTTTTCCTGTATGACATAACATCTCTTCATGCAGTAAGTAGTGGACCGGAAAAAGAAAAACAATCAAAATTGGTCAGCAACATTACTCTGCCAGACAGGCTGCATCATTACAGTCGTCACTGACTGGTACTTCATCAGAATTACCCAGTATTCCCAACACAGGTCAGGTCCACTAACCTGTAAATCTGCATGGCTCTAAAAAAAATCTAAAACTGATTCGAAGCCTAAAAACTCAAAATTCTAGGTGTATATTGAACTCAACAGATTGCATTAATTATTTTGCACTGTCCAAAAAGTAACCCCCATGCTAAGGCTCCTTGGCAGTGGAAACTGCTGAAATGATTTTTCCATGTTTTGGGAATGAAAAAAATGACTCTTTCCAAAGCCTCTTTTGGAATTCGTTAATAATATTTGAGTTCAGTTCAGTAATATCACCTTCCAGTTGAGGAGGAGTTGTACAGGGAGATGACCAAAGGCGGGAATGATTTCCTGCTTTTTGGTAATCTCAGTCTCTCACTGAACGTGCTCCTGTGACTAGCCAGTACATCATGGAGTGAGTGGGAGGTATTTTCCATGACTGGCCTTATCTTGGACAACATCTGCCTCTCAGACACCACCCTAACGGAGTCCAACTCCATCCCCAACACATTACTGGCCATATGGACCAGTTTATTTAGTCTGTTGGTATCTGTGACCCTCAACCTGCTGCCCCAGCATGCAACAGCACAGAGGGGGTGTTCGCCCAGGGCACCAAACAGTCCCAGCTCTTTCTAACAGATGGGTTCTGCCTTATAGAAAACCATGCAGATTCTTCCTCAGCCTCTCATTTATAAAAAAAAACAAACTGCCACTTTGTTTTTTGAGAAAAACTGTCCTGTAATTGGCAGGTTTACTGAAATGAATTGCCTTTATATTTGTATGTACACTAGCACACTGTTAGTTTCTTAGTCCATGGGTGTATTTTAAACACATTTAAAAGTTAGGAAGATCATATCTAAATTCATTGTGGGTCAAAAAGTGTGGTTTGTAATATCAATCTCATTAGGTCGTAGATTTAAAACTGCTTTTATATCACAATTTAAAACAACAACAACAACAACAACAACAACAACAACATGGATTTCTGTTCACAGCGCAGCCAATTACCTTCCACTGCTGTCAGTAAGCAGTGTCTGCAATTTTTACAATGACCGCAGTCTTTTTTTTAAAACTTAATTTACAAAAGTACAGGTTTAGATATGATTCGTAGTGAAATCCGCACAAAACGGACGCATTAGAGCAAAGACAAGGCTACATACCGTCAGCATCGCTGGTGAACAGGAGCAAAGAGATAAGCACCAAACCAAAGAGTTTCACAGAAAAGTGGCTGGAATTTCCAGGAAAAAAACTCATGACTGTTTCCACAAGAGATAAGTGATGTGCCAGCAACAGTTAGTGAGTTATTAAGAGATAAGTCTTACAAAATCTGTTAGGGCAAAAAGGAATCTCACAGAAAAATCTACTACCTCTACTGGGAGAGGAGGAGTTTGGCTATTTGCTCTACAATCCTAGGAGGGGATGGCTTTGGAATACGTGATTCTTTGTGCTATTTAAAAGCCACCATAAAAACTCTTCTGAGATTTATGTGACTGCAAATAAAAAATAAAAATGATTGCAGGATTGCAAGTTTAGGCGAGTTTACAGCCCCAGGTCCAGGTGAAAACAAGTAAAAAATATCTTACCTTATCTTCTCTTCAGTTAGAATAATTATATAAATTAAGATGGAGCAATTTATGTGTTGCTGAGTGTAGCATGGTGGAAAAGAATTGAAAGAATC